GCCCTATAGAGGATTCCCCCCCCCCTTCCTGACCAGGCCATTTTTTACGGTACGGCGCTGCATTACTTTAACTTACAATTGCGCAGTCATGCAACACTGCACCCAAATGAAATTCACATCCTTTTTTTTCTCCACAAATGGAGCTTTCTTTAGGTGGTATTTGATCACCTGTGCGGTTTTTATTTTTTGTGCTATAAACAAAAAATACAGACAATTCTGAAAAAAAAAAACAATAATTTTGACTTTTTGCTATAAAACATGTCCAGTAAAAAAAAAAAAAAAAAAAAAAAAATCAAATTTCGTCATAAATTTAGGCCAAAATGTATTTTGCGACGTCTTTGCTAAAAAAAAAAAAAAAAAAAAAACCAATACATGTAAATTATTCTTGGACTTATATATTATAATTTATTTTGATTATATGCGTGTGATATATTATTAGTGTAAATGAATTGGTTTGCATGAAAGTTATAGCGTTTACAAATGGCGGTATATATGCCGGAATTTTTTTTTTCCTCTTTTTCATACTACTAATGGCGGCGATCAGCAACTTATAGCAGGGCTGTTGGACTGGGACTGTGGTGGGCATTCTGACACGGTGTGGACGGGACTGCCACTGACATCCCCAGTGACACCAATACAGTGATCAGCGCTAATAAAAAGCACTGACACCGTACTAATGGCACTGGGCAGGAAAGGGTTAACATCTGGGGCAATCAAAGGGTTAACTGTGTGTTGTGTGAGTTTTACTATGTTGTCTGTGTGTGTTGTACTGTGTAAGCACCCTGCTTTGTATTGCTCTGCTATGCCAAGTTCCAATTTCAAATGCGCCACTTTACACTGTGGTGCAATGAATGTGCCAAATTCAAAATAAAATACCGAAAATTTGTATCTTACAAAAGTGGAGCTAATTAAGACCAACTTTTTTTGGCATACAGAGAGAGAAAACTGGCGCAGACATATTTTGCGTAGGTGTTTCAAAAAGTGGTGCTGTGTGCGCCAAATTCCTGTACAAGTTCCAGACAGGTCTAGGAATTTGGTGCACCACTACCAGAACATATGGGAGACCCTTTCGCAAAAATTCGCCAGGCTTTATAAATGCCAGGGATTGTGGGAGACTACAGACGATGGGGGAGGAGATGGTAACTATGGACCAGCTGGAGGGGGGGACCCACATGTCTGTGTACTGGGGGGCAAGAGCAACTTTTAAATTAACCCCTTGACGCCAAGCGGCTGCATATTTGTGTGCAATTAAAAAATCCATATGTGCTGAGAGCGCACACCCTGCACGCTCCCAGCACCTATGTCTGCTACTCCCGGAAAGGTCCCGATCTCCCCTTTCGATCGAGACCTTTTCCTTTGACGGCGAATCACGGCGGTCATATGACTCTAAAACCCCGCCCCGCTCCCCGTCTTCTGAAACTCTTAAAGGGCCGGGAGGTGCTGGCGCCAAGGCCTGTATGTACTTCATCAATCTTCAACTCGTCAGTAAATTATATTTATTCAACGTTCCCAGATTTTGTAGGCTGTAGATTAAATGTTTTAATGTGTAACATATTTTCGGCAATCTTTTTTAACGGGTCTCAGCACCGCTTGAAGCTTACCAAAAGGCTATTGAAAGTTGCAGTCAGCAGGTCCATTGACATTTTGGCTGCAATTCCCAATGGACATTAATGATGCTTTAAGAGCTACAAAAAAGCTGCTGAAACCTTGTAAAATGTTTTGTGAATGCTTACTGAATCTGATGCTATCAAAGTAAAATTTCATTACTGGGCTCGACGGCTTAGAGAGGCAATCAGGATTACCCTAAATCCTCATCCCCCCCCCTGATCTCTTTTGATGGCCTATTTCCCCTCTTCCAGTGCCAGAGGTGGGTGAAAATTAAATTCGGATTTTAAAATGTTTTGTAAGGCTAGATTTCAGATTTGCTAAAAATGCACTACAGTCCATTTACCATGCTTTCCTATGGGTCACGATTGCATCTGTGCATTTTCAACTGGTGTGTTGCACATGCTCATTAAGCATCAGAGTGGTCATCCGCACCCTCACCCCGCTTTTTTTTTTAAATATCGAAGTATATTGAACATGTCTATATTCCATCGATTTGCCAAGACAATAATATGGAAAAGTGCTCTCAGGAGTGTTAGACTTGATGCCCAGAGCTCTAACCTATAGACAGGGGTGGACTGACAACTCATGGGGCCCCCGGGCAATAGGGGATCATGGGGCCCCTGTGTCCTTGCCCAAACTCAAAAAAGCCTATGAAAAAGGTACCAGGGGCATCTGATGGGGCCCCCTACTGACCCCGGGCCCTCGGGCAGTGCCCGAGTTTCCAAATGGTCAGTCCGCCCCTGCCTATAGAACTGCACAGTCAGATACCACTGATGATCACTGCTGGAGGCTATAGCCGCCAGAAATTACTGTGTGAAAAAAAATCCAACAGGCTGGTTGTACTGAATTCAATTGGATTGACTGCAGTACAACCAGCCTGCCCATAGATGGACTGATTGGATTCAATCCTTCTATAGCCGGACTTTACCCTAATTTCCTCTTCCAGTGCCGCCAGTCACTTAATAAGTAAGCGAGGGGAAATGTATTTATTATTTATTTCAGGTACTTATATAGGGCTGTCAATTTACGCAGCGCTTTACATATATATTGTACATTCACATCAGTCCCTGACCCTCAAGGGGCGTACAATCTAAGGTCCCTAACTCACATTCATACATACACATACTAGGGCCAATTTAGACAGGAGCCAATTAACCTACCAGCATGTCTTTGGAGTGTGGAAGGAAAGTGGATTACCACACAGGCACAGGGAGAACATGCAAGCTCCAGGCAGGTGGTGCCGTGGTTGGGATTTGAACCAACGACCCGAGTACTGCCAGGCGGAAGTGCTAACTATTTAGCCATCGTCCCAACGTGAACAGAAACAAGAATCTGAAAGAGGTTCTTATCCCTTTTCCGCACTGTCCATAAATGAAGGGGGGGGGGGGGGAAAGAAAAAAAAAAAGAAGGATTTTGGCCTGAGATCCAACATCCCTCAACTGGCAGAAGTAATTTCTATGAAAGTCCTATTGTATGGTGTACACAAGAGGTGCGCTTTTCTAGAGGTGTGGTCTAAGCTGCTGAAGTCTTCTAAAAGAAACGCCATCTCTAAAACACGTTCCTCAACCTAAACACCGGTCTCCTCCAATCAGCCCAATTTTTGCCTATTTTGCCACGATACTGCGCATGAAATATTAAGTATTAGGTCAGATTAAAAACACACCACTTTGAATACCACAAAACAAATTTTATACAACTCTCAGAAAAAAAAAAGCGAGTTGTGTAGTAACAGTACTAGCAAATAACACCCAAGAGGGAATACAGCATATCTGACAAAAACTGTACATTACACATTAAATACTCTTATACTTTTCTACTTGGATATTGCCGTCATCACTTCAAGTTGGCAGTAATCCGCAATTTATATTTATATATATATATATATATATATATATATATATATATATATATATATATATATATATATATATATATATATATATGTATGTATATGTATATATATATATAAATCGGTTTGTTGAACATACAATACATTGGTACTTACACCCTGTCGTGAAATATTTTAGGATGTTATATACAAAAGAACGAGAGTTTGGCTCAAAGTTTAAATTTATACATACAGGTATATCATGGCTTATTTTTTTTTTTTTTATTTTCTTTCTGCAGATGTTGCATTATTATTTTATTTTTTTACTTTCTTAGCAAAAAAAAAAAAATATATAAAAATCAAGGAATTACAGGAGAAGTCTAAAGTCTACAAAAAAAAAAAAAAAAAAAAAAAGGAAAAAGAAAAAAAAGCTCAACATACAGCTTTGGTTTATATATAATAATTCATTGCAGAACGTGTTCAAAAGTATAGAACTTTTTATATATAGTCATTAATTCATAAGGGTATTTTTTTTTTTAATAATATAAAATATACACAAGCTAAAATCAGTTCTCTATTTGTTTTGTTTTTTTTTTTTTTTCAAGGTATGAATGTAAAAAGAAATGTTCTTAAACATATTCCAATTATAACTTAATATATTACTTTTTTTTTTCTTTCTTTTAAACGCCACCAGACGTGTAGATCTTTAAAAAAAAAAAAAATCTCATGCTCCCCCCCCAATCCCATTTTTATTTATATATATAGATATATATTTTTTTTTTTTTAAGTCACACACTTGACAAGAAACCTCCTTTCTCCCTTTTTTTGATTGCTGTTTGTGTTGAGCGTGCAAAAATAGACTGTGTGGCTTAAGCCCTTCATATACTCCTACCGTGAGGGGAGGGGGGATTTAGGCATGGGTTGTGTAGGATAAAACATTTACATATACAGTATTGCTTTCTTTTGTTTCCTGCTTTCGGGTTTGTATTCCTGCTACAAAGCCAGGTCTTTGAATGGCCTGCCTACACAAGGGGCTAAGGACAGAGAGCTTTGTACTGTATAAACCTCTTGGCAGAGGGGGATGTCAAGTCAGTTGCGGTGGTTAAAAAGGGACTTACAACCGTACTACAGAGATACGCATTTTCACTAACCCCCCAATCCCTGTCTAAAAAAAAAAAGAAAAAAAAAGAAAAAAAACATCCCTTTACTATTGCAGTCTCAATGTGGTACAGTACAAGACTCCGATTTTTCTGTGTTCTCTCCAGGAAAAGGGTCAAACTCCATGTAGGTGCCACATCCACGTAATGTTGTAGGTCTATGTTCAGTCATTTGCAGCAGGTACCTGATAGAATTTGTGTTGGACACAACTGAGCACACAAGAGACACACAAAAAAGATGAGCTTGTGCATGTTTGTGTGACATCATTCTCTTTATTTTTTATATATATATATATATATATATATATATATATGTATATATAGGGTTCTGCATCCTCTGGAGACAAAAAAAAAAAAGTTTTTGATATGCATGGAGCTCAGCCACTGAAGAGGACAGAAAAAACCTTTATGTCACCCAGGCATCCATCCTCATTCGTTTCATGGAGGGGCTGTCCCTGTCTTCCGTGTTGGGATTCCTTCCCATGCTGACGGGAGAAATGGAAATCGTTGCGAACATCCTCTCGATCGCTCCCGTCATAGGAGCTGCTGGAGCTACTGAGGCTGTCCACGGGCGATCTCCCCATTTCTGGACAAGCCTGGGGTTGATGGTGCTGTTGCGGAGGAAAGCCGGTGGAGGTCACCCTGTCGCGTGGAGGAGAGATCGGCTCCGACTTGATGTGTATGTTTTGGTTGGTATTGATGGATAAGTTTGAACCCTGAGATAGCTGCCCGCCAGCTCTGTGAAATACAAAACAAAAAAAAAAAAAAAAAACTGCATAAATGAAGGAAGGTGGATTTGATTTCAGGTACTTATATAGCGCCATCAATTTACATATATATTGTACATTCACATCAGTCCCTAACCCTCAAGGGGCGTACAATCTAAGGTCCCTAGCTCACATTCATACATACACATACTAGGGACAATTTAGACAGGAGCCAGTTCACCTACCAGCATGTCTTTGGAGTGTGGGAGGAAACCAGAGTACCCGGAGGAAACCCACGCAGGCACAGGGAGAACATGCAAACTCCAGGCAGGTGGTGCCGTGATTGGGATTCGAACCAACAACCCGAGTACTGCCAGGCGGAAGTGCTAACCATTTAGCCACTGTGTGGATGCATGTCATTTGCAATTATGAAGGCATCATTACAAACCGAGCAATGCCATAATAGAAACAAAGAACGTACAAATCCCAAGTTCAAAAAAAGTTGTGTAAAAATCTACATAAAAGCAGAATGCAATGACTGGCAGATCTCAAACCCACAATTTATTCACAATAGAAAAACGTGTCAAGTGTTTAACTACTTCAAGTCCGGACACTTTCACCCCCTTCCAGTCCAGGCCAATTTTCAGCTTTCAGCGCTATCATACAAGAATTTTTGTAACTTTAGTAACCTATTCACTTTTGAAATGAGACCAGCATAAAACAAAACAAAAAAAAAAAAAACAAAAAAACAGTCAATCATTTGTCCGATTGTGTGTACGGGGCCATACTCTGGGTTAACCCATTGCCACCATGACAGTAAATGATGGACAATCTCTCCAACATAGCCCCAGACAGCAATACAATGTGACAGGTGCTCCAATCCTTTCTCCGTCTATCAAAGTTTGGTTGGACATACAATTTACAACCAGCCAATGTCTAGATTTTGAAGTCTTAGAAAGAGACAGACAAGACAACAAACTATAACCAGGATTTCTATTGTGTGTTCTGTCACTTATTTTGCTGCCCCTATGACCACAGATATTTATGGGTTTGCAGTTGTTGTTACCTTCAAGGAAAACAAAAACAGGTAGAGTGACCTTAAAAGCTTTAAAGCCAGGAGTCCACCTGTGTCCACCTGTTCCTAGACTATGGCCATACATGCTCATAACAAACAGTAAAAGAATTTTACAATAAACCATCACTGACCTATCTAGCAACTTGTACTGTGAAGTAATTTATTTTCAAGTATTCCAACAAAACTGGGTTTCTAAGTGCTAAATAAAATCTGCTGGTTGTTTAAATTAGAGGGCTGGTAGACTGCCAAGATTCTGCTCTTCATGGAAGAGCTGGGATTCAGTATTCCGATTTCTCCCCAATGCCTTAAAGCTACATAGATGAATGGGGGCTTGTTTTATTGTGCTTGTTCAGAATATGTAAATACATTAATGTGCAGTCTGGACCAGGGACGGACTGACCATTTAGTCACTGGGCACTGCCCGAGGGCCCAGGGTCAATAGGGGGCCCCATGAGATGCCCCTGGTACTTTTCATAGGCTTTTTTGGGTGTGGTTTGAGTGTGGGAGAGGACACAGGGGCCCCGTGATTTCCTATTGCCCGGGGGCCCCATGAGTTGTCAGTCCGCCCCTGGTCTGAACACAGGTTTACTATATCAGCTGTGGCAGGAGGGGATGCAGTTCAGGTGCAGCTAGGATTAGGAAGCACCTAGTAACATGGGACAAAGTAGTACATGTACTTTGTCCCATAGGGAACAAAACATAGGAGATGAAACAGCAAAAAAAAAAAAAAAAAACAATCTGACTCTTGAAATGAACATTTAACTTCTCCACACTAAAAAATGTAACCATGAACCAAACTATAATCTTCACCCTTAAAGTTATTCTAAAGGTTCTAATTGAAAAAAAATAACAAGCATGTCATATTGAACTGCTCTGTGCAATGGTTTTACACAGAGCAGCCCTGATCCTCTTCTTTCTAGGTCCCCCCGCCAGCGGTCCTAGCTTCTTCTCTCTGCCAAGTGTCCCCAATAGCAAGCCTCTAGCTATGGGGGCACTCTAGCAGGCTCGCTCCTAAACCGCACTCCTGGTAATGGACTTTGTCCGTTCGCACACACAGTGTAGCTGGGCCCTACCCGTCCCCTCCTCATTGGCTCACTCGCTGTGATTGACAAGAGCAAGAGCTCGCTCCTGAGAAGCACTCCTGGTAATGGACTTTGTCCATTCGCACACAATGTAGCTCAGCCCCACCCGTCCTCTCCTCATTGGCTCACTGGCTGTGATTGACAACAGCAGGAGCTCACTTTTGTGCCGCACTCCTGGTAATGGACTTTGTCCATTCGCACACACAGTGTAGCTCGGCCCCACCCGTCCTCTCCTCATTGGCTCGCTCGCTGTGATTGACAAGAGCAGGAGCTCGCTCCTGAGAAGCACTCCAGGTAATGGACAAAGTCCATTCGCACACACAGTGTAACTCAGCCCCACCCGTCCTCTCCTCATTGGCTCACTGGCTGTGATTGACAACAGCAGGAGCTCACTTTTGTGCCGCACTCCTGGTAATGGACTTTGTCCATTCGCACACACAGTGTAGCTCGGCCCCACCCGTCCTCTCCTCATTGGCTCGCTCGCTGTGATTGACAAGAGCAAGAGCTCGCTCCTGAGAAGCACTCCAGGTAATGGACAAAGTCCATTCGCACACACAGTGTAACTCAGCCCCACCCTCCCTCCTCATTGGCTCACTGGCTGTGATTGACAACAGCAGGAGCTCACTTTTGTGCCGCACTCCTGGTAATGGACTTTTTGTCCATTCGCACACACAGTGTAGCTCAGCCCCACCCGTCCTCTCCTCATTGGCTCGCTCGCTGTGATTGACAAGAGCAGGAGCTCGCTCCTGAGAAGCACTCCTGGTAATGGACAAAGTCCATTCGCACACACAGTGTAGCTCAGCCCCACCCGTCCTCTCCTCATTGGCTCACTGGCTGTAATTGACAACAGCAGGAGCTCACTTCTGAGCCGCACTCCTGGTAATGGACTTTGTCCATTCGCACACACAGTATAGCTCAGCCCCACTCGTCCTCTCCTCATTGGCTCGCTCGATGTGATTGACAACAGCAGGAGCTCGCTCCTGAGAAGCACTCCTGGTAATGGACTTTGTCCATTCGCACACACAGTGTAGCTCTGCCTCACCCATCCTCTCCTCATTGGCTCACTACCTGTGATTGACAACAGCAGGAGCCAATGGCTCTCACTGCTGTGTGGGCGAATAACGAGAGAGAGAGAGAGAGACATGGGACAGCCGCTGCTCTCATGCACATTGCTGGAATGAGATGGGGCTTAGGTGAGTCTAAGGGGGAGGAGCTGCAGGTTTTTTTTTTTTACTGTAAAGCATAGAATGCATTAAGACATAAAAACCTTCTGCCTTTAGAACCACTTCAACCCCCAACCCAAATTTCTAAAAAGCTACATTTGCTTTGTTGAACACTGGAACTACGAACGCCAATATCTTTTGGTGCTGAGAAATTCTAACACGTGCAAAAAAAGTCTGTCATCTGCACGTGAAGAAAAATAAATTCTCTACATTCTCTACTCCTGAATGCTTACAGAAGAAAATCATTGAAAAGTGATGAGACTAGAGACAGTCAAACTCTGTTCTCAAATCTTCCCACCCTGAGCCCTCACCAAAGTTACTTTTCAAAATTTTAGACATAAAGTACAGTTGTGCCTTTAATTTCCAAATGAACACAAAACTCCTTTTCCTACGTATGCAACATAAATTTGGATCAATACTCACACAAGGGAGCTGAGGGCTGCTTGTCCTAAGTGATGCTGCTGCCAGGCAGACACCTGTCCAATGGGCAGCATTCCTGGCGAGTTAAACCCTTGTAGAACAGAAAGGTCCGCACTGGTAAGAGGATAATCTGGGCAAGAATAAAAACCAACGGTGAAAGAGCAAAACTTTGTTGTTTCAAGAAATGTACAACCATTTTTCGACCACATTGTGATATAAATTAAAAAAAAAAAAAGAAAAGTATCAAAGGTTTTTTTTTTTTTTTTTTTTTTTAACTCCAGTTCTTTTTACTGGAAATATGTCAAGGAGGACTTTAATAAACTCAACTTGGTACCTGTGTTTTCTATATTGTATTTACATAGTTAGTCTGGCTGAAAAAAAGACAAAAGTTCATCCAGTTCCACCATACGAAAAAAAAAAAAATATAATCCTATACCCACAGTTGATCCAGAGGAAGGCAAAAAAAACCCAGCAAAGCACGATCCAATTTGCTCCTGCTGGGAAAAAAATTCCTTCCTGATCCCCCAAGAGGCAATCGGATATTCCCTGGATCAACCTTACCTATAAATGTTATATCCAGTTATATTCTGTGTATCCAAGAAAGAATCCAGGACTTTTTTGAAGAAATCCACTGAGCTGGCCAGAATCAACTCTTGAGGGAGTCTATTCCACATTTTCACAGTTCTCACTGTGAAGAAACCTTTCCGTGTTTGGAGATTAAATTTCTTCTTTATATTTCATAGATTTGCTATGAAATATATCGAACTGGCTCTGGACAGTAACCTGCCAAATTTTCATATTCATACATCTGCCATATAGTCAATCTAATGATTTGTCCTGGGGTGGACAAATTAAAGTTTAAATCTACCTAAAACAAAAAACAAAACATCTGCACAAGGGACATTATTTACCTGCAGTGATATGTGTGCCTTGTGCTGTTGTGGCCTCCTTTTGCCAAAACCTTCCTTCTCCGATTCCCCCACCCCCTCTACCATAATCTTTCGGTGTAGGGAAGATTAACAGAGGCAAGGAGCTGTGACAGGTACTCATCAAAAGTGCCCAACTATACCCATCCATTGCACCAAGCTGCTCTATTCATAGAAGCCATAACTACAGTTTCTACAAATGGAACGCGATCTATGAATGGAGGAGGCGGATGTTTGATAGACCCACCTCCTCAATTGAGGAGGCGGAAGTTTGATAGACCCACCTCCTCAATGGAGGAGGCGGAAGTTTGATAGACCCACCTCCTCAATGGAAGAGGCGGAAGTTTGATAGACCCACCTCCTCAATGGAAGAGGCGGAAGTTTGATAGACCCACCTCCTCAATTCATAGGTTCATTCGTAGAAGCTGGGCAGATGAGAGCCTGTCACAATCCCTTATTCACCCAAGTTCAGACCTTAGAAGCAGAATATTTAGTATGTTACTGAGCAAACAGTGGAGGACTGGGCTGGGGACAATTTGCCTCCTAGAACACTACAAATATGAGAACTGTACCAAAAGTGATGCAAAAGTGGGCATAACTTTTTTTTATTAACTTGCATTGATCGGTCAAATGTCACATGTTGGTAGAATAGCTCTTCCTTTATAGTAAATCATCATTTTTTTCAGTATAGGTCAATAATGGATTCCAAACAAGCAATGTGCCATCATCGAGTTCTTGATGAAGGAGGGGTGCAGGCTGTCCCACATCCACAGAAGGCTACAGAATGATTACGGAGATGACAACATTGAGGAGAACAATGTCTTGTCATTGGTGATTCTTGTCATCTCTGCAAACATTCTGTAGCCTTCTGTGGATGTCAGGCAGCCTGCACCCCCTCCTTCATCAAGAACTCAATGACAGCATGTTGCTTCTGCTAGGAATCCATTATATCCCTGCAATGAAAAAGAAGAGTTACTATAGAGGAAGAGCTACTCTACCAACATGTGACCAACTATTGTAGGTTAATAAATCACTTATGCCAACGTTTGCATTACTTTCAGTACAGATCTTTTAATATAGTTACATAATTACATAGTTAGTCTGGCTGAAAAAAGACAAAAAAGTCCATCCAGTTTAACCATTAAAAGAAAAAAAAAAGTTTTAATACTACACCCACAGTTGATCCAGAGGAAGGCAAAAAAAAAACCCAGCAAAGCACGATCCAATTTGCTCCTGCAGGGAAAAAAAAATCCTTCCTGATCCCCTGAGAGGCAATCGGACATTCCCTGGATCAATACATGTTGAGCTAGTGACCCTGAGTGGAGATACTCCCCCAATTTACACTTTAATCAGAGTGGGTATTATGACAGTTAATGGGCATTATGTAGTTTAAAGCTCCACTTTTCTGCCTGCCTCCACCCCCCCCCCCCTCCGCTGCCACATTTGGCACCTTTGGGGGGAAGCAGCAGGTACCTGGTTTTGACAGGTACCCACTCTTACTTCTGGCTGAATTCGTCATGGCCAACTGAGCCGGAAGTTCGCCCCCACCCCACAGCCCTCTGGGACACTTCTAAGGTCCCAGAGGATTGCACGCCATTCACAAAGTGCGGCGTGCTTCACGCATGCGTAGAAGGCAACCGGCGTTGAAGCTGCAAAGTTTCACTTCCAGTTTCCCTTAGTCAAGATGGTGGCGCCAGCACCCGACAGCAGATTAAAGAGTCGGCTCGGGGTGAGGACACCATTGGATGCACGGACAGGTAAGTGCCTTACTATTACACAGTATTTGTAGCTGCGAACGTTAATTTCTTTTTTTTTTGGGGAGGTGGTGGGGGGCCGGAACTCTGCTTTAACTGAGAACACAGGGACTGCCATGAGTTTACATTTGATTTTTTTTGTCCCCCAGACATGGGCTTCCATGCTCAAGCATGACTGTGAGCTCTATAGAAATGAATGGGACAGCCAACTTAGTTCTCCCTTTAATGTCCATAGAGTTTGAAGAAAACCAAATGTGATCTGGAGGCAAAAAATGCCCACTACAGTAGAGAGCGCTGGGGAATACATTTTTTACTCAAACAAAAGTAACCCATGGACATAATATTATTAGGTGCTTTTTTTTTTTTTTTATTGGAAATGTAAAAATTACAGGAATCTGAAGATGGAAGGATGCAGAGTGAACAGAATTTGGTAAAGCTTACCAGTATTGTAGGCAGTAGGCATGGCGGAGTAGACCAGACCCTGTGTGGCCAGACTAGGTGTCGTTACAGAGACAACTGGAGTTGCAAGAGGCTGTGTAGACTGGGAGCTGCTTATCCTCTGTGTATTCTGTGAACAAGTAATAAGTTTTCAGCAATAAAATAAATGTTGCAAAAATGTAATGGTCAGACACCAAAATTTGAAGCCAAATGTCCAGGATTTCAAAAAGAGCAATCATGAGCCTGAACAATTAAAACCTTTAATGCAAACCATAGATCTTAATCCTTAGATCCAGAGATACGGGCATCACATGAACATGAACAGGCTGGAAGGCTGACTAGTCTTTGCTGTGAGAAGGAGCAGGGTGAGCTGAGCTGTCAAGGAACTTTACAGAACTCGGCTTTAGTGTTTATGCTATGAAGATGAATTGCTCCACGTGCCTGCAGCTAAAGAAGCTTGTGTTGGGAGACCACACTGGACTGACTGGATTGGTCACTGGTCTTGGATGGATATTTGTGTGGGTTAAAAGGAATTCCTTCCAGTGGATAGTACCCAGTGATGGATGGTGGTGATGGGTCCACTTGGGGATTGGGCTGCTGCCCTTTCTGTGCAACCTTACAGATGCTTTAGCATGTACACTTGGATAACAAGAAAGTAGCGCCCAGCGTCCAGAGAATTGCAACTTATAAAGTATGGTTGATAGGCGTTTATTAAAAAGTAGCAACATGTACATCAAGCCAACATGTTTTGGAGGAATAGACTCCCCCTTCTTCAGGGCTAACAAACAAAACAAAGGGTGGGGATATACAGTATCTCACAGAATTGAGTTCACCTAAGTGATGCTACATGTACTGCGACATACTGAAGTAGAGCATGATCCCCTCCCTTCAGAGACTGGGCCACAGAGCAATATTCCAACATAACGACCCCAAACACACCTCCAAGACAACCACTGCCTTGCTAAAGAAGCTGAGGGTGAAGGTGATGGCCTGGCCAAGCATGTCTCCAGACCAAAAATCCTTTTGAACATCTGTGGGGCATCCTCAAATGGAAGGTAGAGGAGCGCAAGGTCTCTAATATCCACCAGCTCTGTGATGTCATCATGGAGGAGTGGGAGAGGACTCCAGTGCCAGCCTGTGAAGCTCTGGTGACCTCCATGCCCAAGAGGGTTAAGGCAGTGCTGGAAAATAATGGCGGCCACACAAAATATTGACACTTTGGGCCCAATTTGGACATTGTCACTTAGGGGTGGACTCCCTTTTGTTGCCAGCGGTTTAGACATTAATGGCTGTGCATTGAGTTATTTTGAGGGAACAGCAAATTTACATGTTATACAAGCTGTACACTCACTACGTCACATTGTAGCAAAGTGTCATTTCTTCAGTGTTGTCATATGAAAAGATATAATAAAAAATATTAACAAAAATATGAGGGGCGTAATCATTTCTGTGAGATACTGTGCATATATACAGTGGGGCAAAAAAGTTTTAAGTCAGCCACCAATTGTGCAAGTTCTCCCACTTAAAAAGATGAGAGAGGCCTGTAATTGGCATCATAGATAGACCTCAACTATGAGAGACAAAATGAGAAAAAAACATCCAGACAATCACATTGGCTGATTTGGAAAGAATTTATTTGCAAATTATGGTGGAAAATAAGTATTTGGTCAATATCAAAAGTTCATCTCAATACTTTGTTATATATCCTTTGTTGGCAATGACAGAGGTCAGACGTTTCCTGTAAGTCTTCACAAGGTTGGCACACACTGTTGCTGGTATGTTGGCCCGTCCTCCATGCAGATCTCCTCTAGAGCAGTGATGTTTTGGGGCTGTCGCTGGGCAACACGGACTTTCAACTCCCTCCAAAGGTTTTCAATGGGGTTGAGATCTGGAGACTGGCTAGGCCATTCCAGGACCTTGAAATGCGAAGCCACTCCTTCGTTGCCCGGGCGGTATGTTTGGGATCATTGTCATGTTGGAAGACCCAGCCACGTTTCATCTTCAATGCCCTTGCTGATGGAAGGAGGTTTGCACTCAAAATCTCACGATACATGGCCCCATTCATTCTGTCCTGTACATGGATCAGTGGTCCTGGTCCCTTTGCGGGGAAACAGCCCCAAAGCATGATGTTGCCACCCCCATGCTTCACAGTAGGCTTGGTGTTCTTTGGATGCAACTCAGCATTCTCTCTCCTCCAAACACGACGAGTTGTGTTTCTACCAAACAGTTCTATTTTGGTTTCATCTGACCATATGACATTCTCCCAATCCTCTTCTGGATCATCCAAATGCTCTCTAGCAAACTTCAGACGGGCCCAGACATGTACTGGCTTAAGCAGGGGGACACGTCTGGCACTGCAGGATCTGAGTCCTTGGCAGCGTAGTGTGTTACTGATGGTAGCCTTTGTTACGTTGGTCCCAGCTCTCTGCAGGTCATTCACTAGGTCCCCACATGTGGTCCTGGGATTTTTACTCACCGTTCTTGTGATCATTTTGACCCCACGGGGTGAGATCTTGCGTGGAGCCCCAGATCGAGGGAGATTATCAGTGGTCTTGTATGTCTTCCATTTTCTAATTATTGCTCTCACAGTTGATTTGTTCACACCAAGCTGCTTGCCTACTGCAGATTCAGTCTTCCCAGCCTGGTGCAGGTCTACAATTTTGTTTCTGGTGTCCTTTGACAGCTCTTTGATCTTCACCATAGTGGAGTTTGGAGTGTGACTGTTTGAACTTGTTATCAGTATAAAAGACACCTGTCCACAACCTCAAACAGGTGCCATTGATACAGGTAATGAGTGCAGGACAGAGGAGCCTCTTAGAGAAGAAGGTACAGGTCTGTGAGAGCCAGAAATCTTGCTTGTTTGTAGGTGACCAAATACTTATTTTCCACCATAATTTACAAATAAATTCTTTCCAGATCAGCCAATGTGATTGTCTGGATTTTTTTTTCTCATTTTGTCTCTCATAGTTGAGGTCTACCTATGATGCCAATTACAGGCCTCTCTCATCTTTTTAGGTGGGAGAACTTGCACAATTGTGGCTGACTAAATACTTTTTTGCCCCACTGTATTATCAAAAATTAAAAAAAAAATGATACTATAAAAATATATACATACATACTGCCAGCTTACAAGCTCTATGTATATATTTTTTTAGTATCATCTCTACTTCATAACTTTTTCTATATATGTTTACTTATTCTTAATATATATTCCTCCCACTGACACCAATGCAGGGGCACACAATTACTCTCACTGAAAACAATGGGGCATGTTTTTTTTCCCCTACTCACTTTGGGAACTTGTTTTACTCCCACTGGCCAGTCTGGCCCCTCTAAAGTCTGTAGTAAACTGGCCCTTTGTTTATAAAGTTTGGAGAACCCTGGTCTAAATCAAGGGTCCATTTTTCATGAATAAAAAGAACAATAACTACAACTATAAGAACATTATTATTTGTATATTATTGTTATTATTAATAATAAAAAAAAAATATTACAAATAATTTTAGATTTGTATTTTATCAATATAAAACTACTACTACTGTCTACTGTTGTTACTATTATTATTATTAATAAAAATAATAATAAATGCATAAATTATTAATGATAATATAAAAGGTCTGTATGCAATTCTACACAGAACCAACAGAGGGTAGTCTTGTACCGACATTACCAGACAAAGACGTCACATCGATGATTTCAGTATGGAGGATAACAAGCATTTAAACCCAACAAAAAATAAAGGCAGCCTGCATGTGAGAGAGCTGAACAAGAAACCATACATACACACATGCAAGCATTCCCGCATGAACTTTCTGCTACGGTGCCAGGCTTGCCATATGCATGAAAAACATAAAAAAAACACAGCGTGCACCACACAAATACTATACAGCAGAGCATGCCGCATGCAGCCCGGCACTGGGAGGTTGTGATCTGTGAGTGGTAATTGAAATGGCAAAGCTGACTATATTTGGCCAAAGGCACAAAGCTTGTTGCTCGCTCATGTTAGGAAAAATACCAAGATAATGATATTGCAAGGCCATGAAACTCTGCCAAAAGCTTATTCTGAGAAAGGGAAATCTACTGTAATACATAAAAAAATGGTGATAACAGTATTGTAGTAGCTTGCATTATAATCTATTTTTTTTTTTTTTTTTTTTAAAAAAGGTGGTCTGTTTTTTCTAATTTCTCTCATGCTTCAAAATCAAGGTTAACCATCCTCTCTCTTCTTACCAACACTCTTCACCAGAGTGCCATCAGATTAGAGGGTCTGAGGCACTGGTGAGCAAACTACGGCCTTCCAGTTGTTGCAGAACTGCAAGTCCCATCATGCCTACGCTTCTGGGAGTCATGCTTGTAGTGGTCTTTCTTGCAATGCTTCATGGGACATTTAGTTCCACAACAGCTGAAGGGCCATAGATTGCCTATCCCTGGTCTGATGTCAATACAAAATCTTTTCCTCCCCAAGTGCCATCAGATGGGAGGGTCTGTGGTCTATACAAATCTATCCTCCTAAATGCCATCAGAATGGAAGGCCTTGGGTTGGTACACAACCTCTCCCCCAAGTGCCATCAGACTGGAGGGTCTGTGGTCTATACAAATCTATCCTCCTAAATGCCATCAGAATGGAAGGCCTTGAGTTGGTACAAAACCTCTCCCCCAAGTGCCATCAGATTGGCAAGTCTGGGGTCTTGTCAAATCCATTCCCCCAAGTGCCATCAGGAAGGCCTTGGGTTGCTACAAAACCTCTCCGCAAATTGCCATCAGACTGGAGAGTAGTGGGGTCTGTACAAAATCTCCCAAGTGCCATTAGATTGGAGGGTCGGGGTCGCTACAAAATCTCCTCCACCAAGTGCCATCAGACTGGAGGGTAGTGGAGTCTTTAAAAATCTATTCCCCCAAGTGCCATCAGATTGGAGGGTTTGGGGTCTAGACAAATCTCTTCCCCCCAAGTGCCATTAGATTGGCAGGTAGTGGAGTCTTTTCAAATCTATTCCCTCAAGTGCCATCAGATTGGAGGGTCTAGGGTCTACACAAAATCTCTTCCCCCAAGTGCTATCAGATTGGAAGGCCTTGGGTTGCTACAAAACCTCTCCGCTAAGTCCCATTAAATGGAGGAGAGTGAGTTCTGTACAAAATCTCTCCCCCCAAGTGCAATTAGATTGGAGGGTCAGGGGTCTCTACAAAATCTCCTCCTCTATCTGCCAACAGACTGGAGGGTAGTGGGGACTTTAAAAATTGATATCTCCAAGTGCCATCAGACTGGAGGGTCTGGGATCTTTACAAGCTATCCCCCCCAAGTGCCATCAGACTGGAGGGTCTGGGATCTTTACAAGCTATCCCCCCCCAATTACCATCTGATTGGAAGGTCTGGAGTCTGTACAAAGGCTCACAAGATTGGCATTACAATACGGGAGAGGTGGAGCTGCACTCGGGATGAGCAGCCGAAATCATTCACACATTACTAATAAATATAAGAAAAGAAGTGCGAAGAGAGAGCTCGGAGGACTCACTCTGTGTACATAGCAGACTGCTGTTTGAGCCCTCCTGAGGAAGATGAGATCATTCACAGCTCTGACAAGAAATGACCTCACCAGGGATGATGTAACCTCATTGAAAGACAGACCGGTGAAGAGCTCCTGTACTAGGAGAGTTATGTATCGGAAAGGACGGTGATAGGGGAGTGCAGGGTGGGGATACACAAAATACACAATGTGCATGTTTTTATCTGATGTTCCTCCTAAAAAAAGAAGAGCAAAACAACAAGCAGATCCTCCCTGGGAACAATGTATCCATCTCAAAGATTTAGAATCAATGTCAAGAGATCTTTTGAAAGCTTGCAAAGATTTTAGAGGGAACATCTGAGATGGTTATGTGTAAGTGTCTAGGATGCACACACTTCACTCACCAAGTCTAATTCATCTTCCTCTGTCTGTACGGGAGTGAGGAAAGGTACAGATATAGTGGTTACAGTGTACAACGGTACAAACCTCACCATCAACCCATAGCACTGCTGTATACAGAGAATTATATACCAAAGTATACATTGTCTGCTACTATGGCAGGATATAAAGTGGCTGTAAATCTCAGACATGAAATATGAACAAAGCATATCCCTCTATAGTGTGTACTTGTCTCAATCCAGAGCACTAAGTGTCATTTCTGTCTGCTGCCTCATTCCTCTGCTATTTGCTGAGTCACTTCTGACATCTTTTCCTTACACCATGAAAAAAAAAAGTGACAGGGGAGGGAGCTCCACCACATATAACCTGTGATTGACAGTCCTCAGCTCTGTTCCTGTGTGCTGGGTGAAGGAGAGGTTCCAATCAGCTTTCACTGAACTCCGCAGTGTGCAATTTCAGCTCCCCACGCCCTTGTTTTCTGAAGCTCAGATGAGCTTTAAATATTCTGGACTTTGAATGGATGTAGAGAAGAGAAAACTGCAGATAGACAGGTACAACTTATGTAGGAGGATTTGTTTGATCTCTGTGTATCACTCGAGGTCAGTCAGTTCATTGGGTATATGGAAGGGTTTACAACTACTTTGAGGTCTGTGGACAGTTGCTGAATGCCACAGAAATTTTCAGACTGAAATTTCATTATGTTAAAGTGACAACTCCAATGGACCCCCAACAGGTCATGTTTTCAGTTTTCCCTCAGATGCAATTTCAGCAGCTGAAACTGTTAATCACGCTAAAGTAGACCTGTTGGGGGTCATGAGGACTGGAGTTGAGAAACTTTAAAGTGACATTAAATGCTCAGTTTAAGCAGCCCAGCTGAGTTAATCCTACTGGTGCTTTATCCTTAGGCCCGGTTCCCATGGTGCGGTATTTGCGCACAGGAATCGCACTCCTGTGCAAATCACATGCGAATTCTGTGCGGTGCGATTTGAGCCATACATTTTGTATGGCTCACATCGCACTGCATACGCACCAAAAAAGCGCAGGACCCTTTTTTTAGGCCACACCAGAATCGGATCACATGGGTGTTCACACCCATGTGATCCAATTCTGCACATTGCACCGCATTTTGCGAACTGATTTTGGGGTGTTGTTAACTTAAAATACACACCCGCAATGGTTCTTGTGAATGGGGTGCGATTATGATGCGGTGCAGAAATCGCACAGAAACCGGTGCAAATCCTGCACCGCATCAGTGTGAACCCAGGCTTAAAGTGGTTGTAAACCTCTAAAATAAAAAATGAACAAAGCATTTCCTTCTATATTGTGTACTTGTCTCAATCCAGAGCACAGAGTGTGATTTCTGTCTGCACTCTCACTCCTCTGCTATCTGCATGAGTCACTTCTGACAGTCTATGGCATGGTTTCTCAATCAGGGATGCCTAGGGTTCCTCCAGGAGGTGTCTGGGGGTTCATTTTCTGCCTCTCTGAAAGGTTCCCACTGACACCATTGTCCTTTTTATCTATAAGGGGGTCATTCTTCCCAATGACCTCAAGTGTAAGGAGCATTCTTCCCTCTGACCATAACTCTAATGTATCATGAGTTGTAGATATAGTATATTTTATCAGGTTTTTATATTTCAAGGGTGTCCTCTGTGTTGAAAGGCCAACAACAGACAATTCAAGGAGACAGCCCCCTCCCATCCAGCACAAAGCAGCTGACTGACAGCCTGAGCAGTGCATGTTTCCATATGAGACTGTGTAGAGAGGGGTATGTCCTTTCCATTCACTCAGTTCTCAGATTACACTCAGTTCCCTGCTCTACACTGTGCAGTGTGTGCCATCGGATACCAACCCTCTGCCTTCTGCAGCTGAAAAATTGTGTAAATTCATCACTTGGAACAGCTCTGGTGGAAAGAACTACAGATAAATAGGTGCAACTTATGTAGGAGTATAACCTCTATGAATCACCTGAAGTTAGTCACTTCAGTGGATATATGTAAGTGATTACAACAACTTTAAACCCTTTTGCCGCTACAGACATTTTTTGCACGTTTAAAAAAATCATTTTAGGTCTGAAGATTAACACCCCCAAACATTACATATTTTCTGAAACCAGACACTCTGAGAATAAAATGGTGGTAGTTCCAATTTTTGTTATACCACATTTGTGCAAAAGTTTATCAAGTGCAAATTTTCAGTAAAAAAAAAAAAATAAAAAAATTTATATATACACACTAAAGTTATTTTTAAGACAAACAAATTCAATATGTTACTCAATTTTTTTTTACACCGAGTAAATAGATACCCAACCTGTCAAGCAATCTGCTGAACTTTTTTTTTTCTTTTAGCATTAAAGTGGTTGTAAAGGCTGAAGCTCTTTTACCACATTGTTTGCATAAAGGTAAAAACCTTCTCAGTGCAGCATCCCCCCCCCCCCCCAGACCCCCACCCCCAATACTCACCCAAGCCCCCTCTCAATCCAGTGATGTGCACTGAAGTCTCGGCTATCCCGGGATTCCTTCTTCTCATTGGCTCCCACTGCTGTCAATCAAAGCCAGTGAGCCAATAAGAAGAGAGAGAGAGAGGAGGCGGAGCCAAGAAGCAGCTCTGTGTGTGAATTGACACAAGGAGCAGTAGGTGATCCCACAGCAAGGTGCTTGCTGTGGGGGCACCAGACAGGAGGGAAGAGCCAGGAGAGCCTGAGGGGGACCTGAGAAGAGGAGGATCCGGGCTGTTCTGTGCAAAACCACTACACACAGCAGGTAAGTATGACATGTTTGTTATTTTTTTTCTATTAAAAAAATAAGCCTTTAGAATCACTTTAAATTTATTGAAGTTTTATTTAACCTCTTCACGCCGGCCGAACGCAAATGTGCGGCCTCCCGGCATCTGGGCCTAGACGCCAAGCAGCCGCACATTTGGGTTCTATTAAAAAAGAACATATGTGCTGAGAGCGCACGCCCTGCACGCTCCCAGCAAACATGTCCGGTACTCACAGAAAGGTCCCCATCTTCTCTTTCGATCGGGACCTTTCCTGATCATGTGACCGCCGTGGCGGCGTGTCACTGCGGTCACATGACCCTAAACCCCGCCCCGCAAAACCCTTAAAGGGCCGGGAGGCGCCGCGTGAAGGGGTTAAAAAGTGTGCCCCCTCTCGAGCAGAATCTGTCTAACACACTACGTCCTCCTGCACACTGGCGTTTTTACAGCGGCTGTTTTTGGCTTTTGCCATTTTTTTTCTACAGCCAGTAAACTCCCCAGCATGTTATCTGTGACCCTTCCCTCCAATCAGCTCTCAAATCTCTCCTCGCTGAGCTCTGCAGAGTGTCATTTCAGCTCTCTGACCGCTGTTTTCTGACAGCTCAGACAAGCTTTAGCAATTCTGGATGTAAAGAAGAGAAGAATGCAGATAAACAGGTACAATGTATGTAGGGAGGATTTGTTTCATCTCCGTGTATCACCTGAGGCCAGTCACTTCACTGGGCATATGGAAGGGTTTACAGCCACTTTAAATTAGTCTAAAGAACAAGAAAAGTACACACATACAGTTGTGACCAAAATTATTCAACCCCCACTGAAATTGAGTGTTTTGGCCAGTTTGACATTGCTTTTGATCATTCAGTCATCTTGCTTACATTTACATTAAAGAGGCACTTGTAGGTCAGACAAATATAACATAACAGTTATAATGAAATAACCACAAATGTCTTTTCTGTGCTCACAGCATTATCAGTTTTATTCAACCCCCAAGTGACATTCAATCTTAGTACTTAGTACAGCATCCTTTTACAGTTAAAACAGCTTTTAAACGTGAAGCATAGCTTGACACAAGTGTCTTGCAGCGATCTACGGGTATCTTCGCCCATTCTTCATGGGCAAAGGCCTCCAGTTCAGTCACATTCTTAGGCTTGCGCACTGCAACTGCTTTCTTTAAGTCCCACCAGAGGTTCTCAATCGGATTTAAGTCTGGTGACTGTGGCCACTCCAAAATGTTCCAGCCTTTCCTCTGCAACCATGCTCTAGTGGACTTGGAGGTATGCTTGGGATCATTGTCCTGTTGAAAGGTCCAACGTCTCCCAAGCCTCAGGTGTGTGACGGACTGCATCACGTTTCCATCCAATATCTCCTGGTACTGAAGAGAATTCATGGTACCTTGCACACGCTGAAGCTTCCCTGTACCTGCAGAAGCAAAACAGCCCCAAAGCATGATTGACCCTCCACCATGCTTCACAGTAGGCAAGGTGTTCTTTTCATCATAGGCCTTGTTCTTCCTCCTCCAAACATAGCGTTGATCCATGGGCCCAAACAGTTCTAATTTGTTTTCATCAGTCCACAGAACACTATCCCACAACTTTTGTGGTTTGTCCACATGGCTTTTGGCATACTGCAGTCGACTCTTCTTATTCTTTGGAGACAGCAAGGGGGTACGCCTGGGAGTTCTGGCACGGAGGCCTTCATTTACGCAGTGTGCGTCTTATTGTCTGGGCTGAAACTTCTGTACCCACATCTGACAAATCTTTTCTCAGTTCCTCAGCAGTCACACGGGGACTTCTCTCCACTCTACGCTTCAGGTAGCGCACAGCAGTCGAAGTCAGCATCTTCTTTCTGCCACGACCAGGTAGCGTTTCAACAGTGCCCTTTGCCTTGAATTTGCGAATGATGCTTCCTAAGGTGTCTCTTGGTATGTTTAACATCTTTGCAATCTTCTTATAGCCATTGCCCTTCCTGTGAAGAGAAATCACCTCTTCTCTTGTCTTCCTGACCATTCTCTTGCCTTCACCATGTTTGTAACCACACCAGTAAATGTCTAGAAGGAGCTGAGTATCACAGTCATTTTAAAGCTGCCTAATTGGTGCTTATTATGCTTGATTGCTGCTCGGTGACATCCACAGGTGTTTTCAATACCTGATGGAAAGCACCTGTATGAACCTCTGTTCTTGAGTGGTAGTCTTTAAGGGGTTGAATAATTGTGGCAATGAAGAAACCACATAAGAACCATTTACTACTGTATTACATAAAACAATTGATGTCATTTTAGTTGCATTTGGGTAGTTACAACGTCCTTGTAGGATTTGATTCTGAATACAATTCCAAATGTACACTATAGTCCCTAAACCCCTTTACAGCATTGGGGTTGAATAATTTTGGTCACAACTGTACCTTCCCACACACACAGGTTTCTATTGAACCCCACCCCCAAAAGAGAGACCTATGGCTATGCTATTGAGGAAGGGGGTCATTTTAAAGCCTACCTCTATGTTAAATAGTTTGTTTGGGCCAAACTGGTCCAAAGAAACTATTTACTTCACTAACAAGTGCGCTTGCTGGGCGTGCTGTATTAACTGTATATAGCCACAGCAATATACCGTATACAGGTGATCTGGGGGCTTCCCATCCCACTCCTGGAATGAAAAAGAGTTGGGCTGAGTGCTGCTCAGCCATTCACAGGAAGCTTTGTATTCTAGAACTGAATACGATGCTTCCTCTGATTAGCTGAGGCAGTGAGGCAGGCGAAAGACATCCCAAACTCATCCAATCAGAGGAAGTCTTGTACTCATTATTAAAATACAAAGCCTCCAGTGAATGGCTGAGCAGCAATCAGCCTGACTTTATTTTGTGCTGGAAGTTCTCATCCCACTGCCAGAAAACAGAGCTGTGTACTGTATGTAGCTGAGGCCACATACAGTATACAGTTCATTTGGGCCGGGCTTAGCCCAAACAGACTATTTAAAGGGACATGAAACACAGAAAAAGGCTTTAAATCACCATTCTAATGACAGGTGTAGCAATATCAGTACAGTAGGTGCTTGCCCCCATGCTGGCTGTAGGTTGTATATCTATTGTACTGGCCGGCCTACACTCACAAATAAAACAAAATGTGTTTTCCACTCACCAAAGGAGGCATCATTCCTTTACTGGAGGGAGGTATGACTACACGCAAGTCGGGCTTTCGGCTGTTCATGCCAAGGTTGCCCCCCGGAGGGGGAGGGGATTTGGTGGGCATCACTTTTCCCAGGCATTTCCACCTGCTGGGCCAAGCAGGCTGGGAGAAGCCCTCGGGTTAACAAACCCATTACCTGAGCAAGAAAATAAAAAGAAAAAACATTTAATATCAGCGATTAATCTTCAGAATAATATTCTTAATATGCTTTTAAACGGAAAGGAAATAAAACAGAATTCTTCCCAGATTAACCGCTTGCCTACCGGGCTCTTTTACCCCCTTCCTGCCCAGGCCTTTTTTCAGCTTTCAGTGCTGTTGCACGTTGAATGACAATTGCGCGGTCATACAACACTGTACCTACAGTTGCAAGAAAAAGTATGTGAACCCCTTGGGATTACGTGGAGTTTTGCATGAATTGGGCATAAAATGTGCTCTGAACGTCATCTAAGTCACAACAATAGAAGAACACAGTCTGCTGAACATAATACTACACAAACATTAGATGTTGCCATGGTTTAATTGCACATAACATGTAAACATTCACAGTGCAGGGAGGAAAAAGTATGTGAACCTTTGGACTTAATAACTGGCTGACCCTCCTTTGGCAGCAATAACCTCAACCAAACATTTCCTGTAGTTGCAGATCAGACCTGCACAACGATCTGGAGTAATTTTGGACCACTCCTCTTCACTTTTTCTTGCAACTGTATATGAAGTTTTTATCTTTTTTTTTTTTTTTACAAAAATAGAGCTTTCTTTTGGTGGTATTTAAAAAAAGTTTTTCTTTGTTTCTATTATAAAATTTTGCAAACAGGTAATTTTTCTCCACTGATGTGTGTGAGGCTGCACTGATAGAGCACTGATGCAACTGATAGGCAAGAGGGACTGATGATGCTGCACTGATTGATGGCACTGATAGCAATGATGGGCACTGATAAGCGGCAGTGAATGACACAATAGGTAGTACTGAAGGGCACTGACTGGTGGTACTGATGGGCACAGATTAGCAGCACTGATGGGCAGCACTGTTGGGTACTTTTGGGGTTGCACTGATAATCATTGCCCTGATTTTCAGTGCAGATGTCTGCAGTACCTTCCTCACTCTGTGACATCATGAGGAAAGTACTGCCGTTAACCAGCAAATGTACTTACGTGGTGGTCAGCTGTGATTGGACACGGCTAATCACGTGACAAACTTCTGCTGCGATTGGTCTTTTAACACGTCATGTGATCAGCGGTGTCCAAGGGACACAGCGATCACAGACCGTGCCAGGTGCATACCACTGGGAGCGTGAGGGGGCCACGTTCTGGGAGGACGTCATATGACACCCTCCCAGAACTGGACTACCGTCATTTGACTATAGCGTAGTAGTAAAGTGGTTAAAAAAAAAATGGAAGTCTAAGAAGTTTTGCAGAACATTTCTTTTTCAAAAGTGTTTTACTTCCAATGGTGCTGATCACCAAACCAATGCAATTTATTATGTTCAGTCTGCCAGTCAAACAGGCATCAGATCTTAATCTGGAAGAGCAATTTAGTCAAATCAGCCAACCGTCAGGGTTGTCAAAGCAGCAACAGTGAAGCACACAATGTAACTCGGTGGATCACAGGGTTAGAACAGCTGGATCCGTGCCACTACGCCACATGTCTGACTAATCTGATTACAAATCCTGTCAGATACAGACCTGCAGCGGCTCATTTGAAAAGACTGAAAACCCAAAAGGTTATAAAAAGACTCGCTTACCCACTTCCCTGCAACTCGCAATGGAAAGATCAGGGTGGAAATTTTCCTGTTTAAAGGGTAACTCTACCTTTTGGACCAGGTTACCTGTTACACCTGTATTTTCTACACCCCAAACCCATGAGAGCACACAGGGGTTCATCTTTTCTTTTACCCTAGGTTCACATCTGTGCGGGTGGTGCCGCTGCGGATCCGCACGAAAATCTGTGCAGCCGCACCACCCGCACAGAAAATTGCAGACCCGCGGGTCGGTGTCATTACTTCTAATGGCATGCCGCCCGCACTGGAAACGCAACCGTACTGGGAACCGAGGTTCCCATGCGGGCTGCATTTTTCAAAGAACTGCAGGGATTTCTTTTCCCTGCGTGTCATGGGCACGGGAGTCCATTCAAATGAATGGACTCCCGTGCCTGTGCAAAACGCAGCCCGCACGGTCGCATATTTGTGAACTGGGGGGTTAAAGTCAAAAGGTTTTTTTACCCCAATGCATTTCCTGCCTTAAAAGGTGAAAAAAAAAAAAAACTTTTACTAGCTCTTTCGTCGTCCCCCACCCCCTAAAATACTTACCTACATCGATCCAGCGCTGTGCCTGTCTGCTGCAGCGCTGGTCTATCTCCCTGCTCCAGCAGTGATTGGCTTCCCCTGCTGTCAATAAAATCGAGTGAAGAGGGAGGGGGGAGTGGCCAAACCATGCTCTGTACCTATAGATGCACACAGCGCGCCCCAGTGTGTGCTTCAATTGCACACACCTTGCTATGGTGGCACAAGCAGGAAGGGAGGAGTGAACACTGCCAGCGAGGTACCCTAGAAGAGGAAGTTAGGGGCCACTCGGTGCAATATCTTTGAACATTGCAGGTAAGTATAAACCTATTTCATTTTAGAAAAAAAAAAAGAAAAGAAAAAAAAGGAAGAGGCTTTAATACCGCTTTAAAAATTTGATATGGATATATGCAAAACCAGAGAAAGTTCTTTGTTTGCTTTTCTGTATATCAACCTCAGCAGCAATGCTTAAAGTGTAAGTTCACCTTTGCACAAAAAATCAAAAAGGTGCAACACCACCCTACACCCCTTCCCCACTCCCTTCCTGGTTCCTGTTGCACCTGTGGGTGATTAGCTGTCATTGCCCACGCAGCCAATGTAGTGGTCAAGGGAAAGAAGAGCGGGGCATTCAAATTCCTGCTTTCCCTATGGCTTCCAGAATGGAATGGATCAGGGAGATTCTAGTTGATCAAAGTAGAAATATGCCAGCACGTGACCAATCAGAATCGGTCCAATCCATCCTGGAAGCCCTAAGAAAAGAAGGGGAAAAAAGAGCAGGGTGTTCACATCCCTGCACCACTGATGTAGGGTGCCAATTCACCTTTTTATTTTTTCGTGAAAAGGTAAACTTACACTTTAGTGCAGAATTAAACTCCACTGGCATTTTTTTTTGTTAATGAGCCCCCTGCAGGTTTATCCCATAATGTGCTAGTATGCACAGCATATTAGCACGTTATTACAGACTTACCTGTCAAAGGTTTCCCTCCAGCGCAGCGCTGTCAGTGCTTGGATGCCGTTCTCTCCAGGTATGCCCTGCTCGACTGCTTGAATGGCCAGGCCACGATGATCTCACTACCAAACAGTCACAGAGCGGGTGCCATCATGGCACAGAGCGGGTGCCATAAAAGTACTCTGAGCTGAGCATGCATGGCTCAGTGTACATTACCACTGACAGGTAGGGGAAACTGTTTTGTTATGGCCATTTCAGTGATTTTTATAGCATAAATATAAGTAGAAGCTATGCTTCCCTTATTCATAGGCTAATGAACTTGTTGGACTGGTTCATGAGCTCAGGAAATGAACTTGTTGGACTGGTTCATGAGCTCAGGAAAGTAAATGTTGTTGGCAGGAAGTAAGGTTAGCGAACAAAAGGACTTGGAAAGGGAGCAGAAGTAGTTTTGCAGGACTCCAAGAAGCAGTTTGGAGAAATCCTGGAAGAAGGCACCATCATCAGGAAAAACTATGTTACATAGCCGTTTAGTGTGATCACATAATTGCCCATGCTCATTTGTTAGGAAGGATAGATAGCATGTGCATGTGTATATTGCACGCATATTTTGTAATACTCTGTATTAGGGCTGCACCGATACTGCTATAGGTGCCGATACGAAGCACAAGTACAAGCGTGCAAACGCTTCAATACCTAAAAACGATACCTTTGCGGTGCGATTTGAGCCCATACAAAATGAATGGCCTCGAATTGCACTGCAAAGAATTGCATGCTATTTTAACAGGAATGCAGTGCGGATCCTGTCTGAATCACATGCACTTTCCTGCACCGCTCCTGTGTGAACCCAATATAAAAAGATAGGGAAGTGCCATGTAAGTGCAGCAATGGGCAAACTGTTTATTAAAAATGGTTATAACAACTCACATGTTAAAAGTACATATCTTGCCTGCTGATGATGGAAAACCACGGCTGCTTGCGGTGCTCACAGGGCTGGAGGAGGTAAAGGCATGTATAGGCCTGTAGAAAGAGCTTGCAAGCTACAAGCCCGTAGCCTGTTACTGCAGCGGTCTGCCCTCAAGCTGACCTCACTTCCGCCCTATACCCACGTGTGTTCTACAAGCTGGTTTACAGGGGTCACGGAACTTCCTACATCTCCTTTCCCTGTGAGCACCGCAAGCGGCTGTGGTTTTCCATCATCGGCAGGTCCCATGGGACAGGGACACTATGACTATGCAGATTTGGATTTGACATGCAAGATATGTACTTTTAACATGCGAGTTGTTATAACCATTTTTAATAAACTGCTCATTGCTGCACTTAGATAGCGCTTCCCTGGTTTTCTATACTGGGTTCACACAGGAGCGGTGCGGGAATCATCACGTGATTCAGACAGGAACCGCACCACATTCTTGTTCAAATCACACGCAATTCTTTGCAGTGCGATTTGAGACGATTCATTTGTATGGGATCAAAACGCATCGCAAAGGTATTGGTAACTGGTATTGGCAAGTACTTGAGCACAAATATTGGTACTCGCATCGGTCCATCCCTACTCTGTATATCATGTTTTTCTCTAAAATTGTATGCGGTTTGTGTAAGTATAGCAGTTTTCTTTAGTAAAGCACATTAACCTCTCTAGCGGTCTGATTATGTCAGTATTTGTGTGCTCAAAGCGGTACATTTTTTTGCATGGAAATATGTTTTTTGTATTGTAGGCCTGTAATTTTTAGGAATAACTCACTGAAATCTGTCCGAACAAGAGTCTAGTAAGCATCCCGGGTAGGATAAAATTTGAAACACGAAATCATAAATTATAATATAATAATCATAAAAATATAATAAATTTAATTCAATAATATAATAAAACCGAAAACACTGAAATTTGAAATAGAGCGCCAAGTTCGCACA